GATAACCTGCTCAGGTTGGGTACATGAGACAAGTGCTCGGGCCTGGTGCACTGGGAAGACCCAGAGGGATCGGGTGGAGAGGGAGGTGGGAGGGGGGACTGGGATGGGGAATACATGTAAATCCATGGCTAATTCATTTCAATGTATAACAAAAACTACTGTAATGATGTAAGGTAATTAGCCTCCAACTAATAAAAAAAATAAAATAAAAAAAAAAAAAAAGGAAAGGAACCACTAAAAATTATATTTTAAAATTTTAAATGAAGATAATGCCTAATTAAAATAGCGATAATCTTCACGACTGGAGGAGCCCTGTTAGGGGCATAAACTGGTCCAGTCCTGAGAGGGTCAAGAGCAAGAGAGTGGCACCTTTCAAAATTTTAAGTCCACACTGCACTGCTGGGAACTGACCCTGAAGAAATATGTGCACCGGAGTACAGGTACTCCCTACAGTGCTGTCTTAGTGACAGTTTAGAAGCAACCTAAATACTCATTAACTCATTAACTGGTAAATAGCTTAGGAAGCATCCAAACTTTGGAATATGATACAACTCCTAAGAAGAACAAAGCATATCTTTATTATATCACGGTATGGATCTGTCTGTATCTGTGTATGCAGGTCAATTCCAGGGATAAAAAAAATACTTTGTGAAGTGCGTATACCTGTATTATGAATGCACAGCTGTTACCAGAGGGCAGTTATGCCTGGGCAAGGGAGAAACTCACCCCCAAATTTTCTAAACGCATGTGTTTACTTCAGGATGGGTTGGACATTTTACAACTGGCATGTATTGTCTGAATGCTTTTAAAACCAAGAGAAAGAAAAGGAAGGTGATTTCTCTGGATTCCAATATACCTCCTGCTTGAGAGTCACTGTCTTCGACTAATTAAGAGCTATCACCCTTACTTTTAAGAGGTGAATGCTGACATGGGTAAGGACAAGTGTGGTGGTATCTGCCACTCTCTTTACAACGGCTCAGCCTCCAATCTACCCATCAATGCACAACTCACACACACACACACACACACACACACGCTGACTATGATATAACATTGACCCTGACACATCTGCACCTGGCTACACCGCCTACATGAAGACCCCAAGGCTGTCCCCAGCTCCTTTTTACCCCAGGATGATTTCAGCTGCTGCTACTTAGAATGCTCCTCCATCCTGAAGGCCCACCACCCCCTCACACACACTCACTCCGCTCAGCCAGCCTCTTCTGCAGCCAGCCTGCATCTCAGGCACAGGCCTCCTCCACTCTCCACGGCCTCCCCGCANACCACCCCCTCACACACACTCACTCCGCTCAGCCAGCCTCTTCTGCAGCCAGCCTGCATCTCAGGCACAGGCCTCCTCCACTCTCCACGGCCTCCCCGCAGTCACCTCGCCTCCTGCTGCCACCTCCCCCAAAGCCACCCGATCCCTCCCTTTCCAGCTCTGCAACTTCAGCCTGACACCAACGTCGTTATTTGCACGACTTAAAAAAATGTTTTTACACCAGCAAATGAAGGAAATTTCATGTTCAGAGACAACGGATGTCTTCTCCCCAAAGTTGCTAAACTAATTCTTCTTTCAGATGGGCTTGTCCATTCCAAATGAGAGTGTGACTTCTGGAGTTTCTAGATTCCTGGGAAATGAAGGCTACCTTGCCTAGTTTTCTGTTCCTATAGAAAGCAGATTTTGTATTAAAAATTTCAAATTTCTTTCCCTCTTTATGAGTTCCAGAGGATGGCATGACTTTTTTTAATGTCTGTTTCCCCTACTCGACTCTCATCTCCATGAGGGTGATAGTCCTTTCTTTTACATCACAGCCTTTAGAAGGCATTCAAAAAAGAACCATTATACAAATGAGTGAAGGAGAAATTCTCATCAGAATTTTATGTGTTTGAGGCACAAAGGATGAGACAAAACCACCAAGGAAGTGACAAATAATTCTGTATATACGGTAATCACACACAGTCAACTAAGACTGCTTTCCCCTGAAGAACAGTGGCGAAAAAAGTTAAATATTTTTGCCAAAATAAACACTGCTGCTTTGAGGGAATTCTAGGGGACCATTTTAAAGGAGGCATGCTGTAAAGGAGAGAACTTGTAAAGTCTTGGAATTCTGCCCTGGTGCCATGAGGTTTGGGGATTCAGATCCACAGGCTTTCAAATCTCTGTTCCTTCTCCTTTGGAGATATCAGCACCTTCCCATTCTGTACTTCAGTCCTGAGCGGTGTCTCTGCTTGAGTATTTCTCCACTTGAACACCCAGCAACTCTTCCAAGATTCCCCGTTAAATTGCCCCAATGGGAGTCTCCAGGCAAGAATACTGGAGCAGGTTGCCATGCTGCTCTCCAGGGGATCTTCCTGACCCAGGGAACGAACCTGGGTCTCCTGCATTGCAGGCGGATTCTTCACCACCTGAGCCCCCTGGGGAGCCCCGAGAAGCGCACACAGACAACAATCTGAGAAATTCCTTCCCAGGATTTGAGGTAACATGTCACACCTGCAGTCTGCAACCGATTGCCATGCTCCCTTTCCGAAATCCTGTTTTCAAATCTCAAGCCCTCTTCCATCCTGAACTGTCACTCCTGCTGCGCCAGTACACCTATAGTTGTCTCCAACTTCCAGGGAGCCAGCCCACAAAATGCTAATAAGCTCTTAACTCACACACTAGGTGGTCATTTTTTAAAACATCGCTCATATATAAAAGGCTTGGCAACTAATTGCCTTTGGAGAATTAACTGATTTTCAGTCATTTAAGTCTAATTTCTGGGCCCCGAAGGCACAATTTTCAAAATAGAAGTTCCTGAACCTGAGGGTGGGTTTGTCCCTCCAAGTGTTTGCAAAGCAGGTGCCTCAGTTCTCCTGCCTACGACCACCCCACCAAAGGGAAGCAGCTCATTTTCAGGAAATACTATCCTCTCAGTGTGCTGACCACACATGCTTTTCCATCTGATACGAACCTCTCTCACCAAGGCCTTAATTACAGTTAGGTGGCGGCCCAACAATTAATAATGTTAAAAATGCCAAAAGCAGACAATTCTGATAGTGGAAGGTTGACTGCTTTATGCAATTTGAAAGTGCAAGAGAAAAGTTCTAAAACTCAGTGACAAACAATACTGAAATTTTTGCCACTACTTTTATGAAAGCAAAGCAAGTTTTAGAGAATAAATCAATAGAATTTATTGACAGTAGTACTGTATTACTATGTTAGATTGAATGGTATCTTCACGTGAAGAATGCAACCTCTAAAAAAACTTCAGCACAAAACCCAACATGTCAACTGTTTAAAAAATGTACTAATTTTTAAATCTCTAATTTCTAAGCAAGCATCTCAATTAAACGTTTATATGAGCATTTCCCCTACTTGAATTCTTTACCTTTTGACGTCTTTTCTCTTTTCTTTTGTCTTCTGTGTCCTGTAGCATTTTTTCTTTCCAGAGGTCAAAGAAATAGGAAGGATCAGTATAGAACTTCAGCCCATCCTTCTTATCATCTCTGTAAATCAATGTATTACAAGTCAGGTGGGAAAAAAAGGTTGTTAGATATTTTCATATGGGGTAATTATTAATGTTTATTTAAACTCATGAGATAACAGCTGCATGAGGAATCTGAACTATCCTATACTCTGTGAAGTCTCCCAATTTTCCCTATTTGAAAAAAAATGTGTGAACATGCAGTAACAGCAGTTTTTTTCTAGAATAATTAAGTAAAAACTACTCTTGCATATTTAGATTTAGAAAAATGCTACCCAAAATCACAATATAGCTCATAAACAGCAATATTTAATACCACAATTATTTCAAGGTATGTTCTGTTTATTCCAGTGGGGGCTACATATAGAGATGGATGGATCTCTTAGCACATATGCGTTCACTTCTATTCTGGAGTGACAAGGCTATTTGGATAAAAATTAGCAAGTACTTTTTTAAAAAAAATCAGGTTTGCCCAATATCTATAATTCAATTAGGAAAGAAGCAGAATATTCATGGTGCATAAATGTAACTAGGATAGAAAGTGATGACCTAGATACTTTTCAAGTGGAAAGTGAAAGTGTTAGTCAGTCAGTCATGTCACTTTGTGACCCCTGGGACTGTAACCTGCCAGGTTCCTCCGTCCATGGAACTTTCCAGGCAAGAATACCAGAGTGGGTTGCCATTCTCTTCTCCAGGGTTGTAAATGGAAGTAACTCACAAAGAAAATTCACTTGCAGCTATTTAGTTTTCACGAACTGCTATAATTACTATATATTTAAAAATAGTTCAAGTCTTTATATGCTACTCATTTATCACAAAGTCAATAAAATGCAGCCAACATGGACCCAAAGTTGTAATATACATCAATAGACAGCAAAGCTCAAAATATTCACGTTAAGAAGTGAACACTCTATCTGCTAATGCTTTAAAAAGAGTATGTGACCTGTATATCACCTTCAAGAGGGAGCAAAACATTTTCACTTAAAGACAGCATTTCAAATAGTCAATTGAGGCATACAGGGAAAGAAAAAAAAAAAATCAGAGAAAATAAGTATAGAAAAGAGTTTGTGGCCCAGTAGTCAAAGTGACGTGAATTACTCCAGGGAAACTGGTCTTGAAGTTCCTGCTATGCCAGGTTCTCTAAGCTTCTCAGCATCAAATGATAATTCAGGCTCTCAGGAGGGTGGTCTGGCAGTTCCCCGCCTGAAAGTCGCTAACAAACCAGCACAATTCACTCTGTACTTCAATCTTTAGTTATTTAAAATCCTCTCTCTTCCCAATTTCCTAAGTGACAAGCAACCTGCATTACTGGGATTTTATTAAAAACATTGTTGTGAAAAATATAAACTATTTCCCTAAGATACTACTAGGTTATCCATATAGTTGAGGACATAGAAAAACTGAGCAGCAACTTGCTGCAATCTTAAAATGTATAAAATGCATCTTCTTTTTTCAAAAGTGGGGCTGATACTTTGATGAGGAGTTACTACTTAATGGAACAAATACGTATATTAACTTAAGCAAACGTTAACCTTGACACCAGAATATAAGCAGAAATATTCTATGTCTATCGCAACACTTGACTTTTCAGTCACACTGTACTTATTTAAAACTGTGTTGTCACTGTCATATTTAAATCCAATTGTAAAAGTTTGTGTTTTATTAAAAATACAAAATATTTCTGTATTAATAAAAAGTAGATTTGAGTTGGCATGACTATTTTTAAACACACTATTAAAAGACATTTTTCTTTTCCATAAAACTGAGTATACACAATATATATGAACATCAATTTATTTTTATGCAATTAAAAATTTTAACCACCATAAATATTTAATCATGATCTTGATTAGTCAAATATGAGTGGTTCACTGAGTCTTCCGGGTTTCTTTTCTCCTTTATAACAAAATATTTAGTGAGGTTTCTTAGGAAAATTTTAGTAAGTTCTCATGGCTCTGGGATAAATAGAGCTGAAATTGCTCCCAGAAAAATGTCTGCTGAACAAGTTAAAAAATTGGGCTTCTCACCCCATCTCACCTCTCTAGCTTGTCACAGAGCCACAGTCTGAGTTCCCAGAGTCATATGGCAAATTCCCCCTGGCTATCCATTCTACATACAGTAGAGCGGGAGGCAGGAGGAGGTTCAAGAGGGAGGGGAAATGTCTACACCTGTGACGGATTCCTGTTGATGTGCGGCAGAAACCAATACAGTATTATAGAGCAATTATCCTTCAATTAAAAATAAATTTTTAAAAGGTAAAAAAAATAAACTAGGCTTACAATACTACTGTTCATTTTTAAGATGAGTATCTAAAGACTCCAGAAACATACACTTGTTTCATAGAAAAATGTGGTATCCTGATCCTCTCCCATCACAGCTTCCATGGAATCCCGACTTCATTTTCTGGAGCATCTTTCTGTCCATGCTGAAGAAAGGGATGCAGTCTGAACAACTACTTTCCTAGCAGAGCTGCAATAAAGGACGGGTCCAAACGTTTCCTTTTGCACCCTGAGAAAGGACAGGAGTTCAGACCAAGAAAACCCCTGGGCACTGCCTGAGAAGGGCCACCAGACCCAGAAGAGCAGTAATGGACATGAAGGACTCAGTGAATTCAGGAAGGCTGGGATACCACCCAGCAGAGCTAATCCTGGGGGGCCATGAGGATCACCCCTCACCAGTCTGAGCTCATCAGAGGCTGAGAAGCGAGCTCTACGGGGGGTGAAGATGGGGACGAATTACTGGGTAGGCCAAAAAGTTCATCTGGGTTTTCCTGTAACTGTTCCAGAAACCCAAATGAACCTTTTAGCCAACCCAATACATGAAAACAGGAAAGAACACAGTGATGTGGGAGTAGGTCAGAGAGGAGTTCTAAAGAGCATTTTTAGTGTCTTAACAATAATTTTTGTACAATTTATTTTTCATTTTTTTTCTAGGAAGTTCAGTCCTGATAGTGGGTCCTACCAGTTCAAATGAAAGGTTACCTTCTTGATTCTATATTCACTCTTAGAAACCCCAACGCTGCAGAACACATGTTTCTGAATTAAATAACAAATGTCTGCGGGGCTGAAATGCTGAGACAGGTACTTGGCTGCATTAGAGATGAACTATGCAACTCCTTTAAACTTGACTTTGAACGTGAGGATCAACACAATCACACACCATTACCATGTAATGTACCCTCCTCTACTCAAGATATCTGTATCTGAAAGCTAACATCAGAGCTCACACTTCCCTTGGTAAGCTTATCTGTATTTTGAAATACTCAAACTTTAGCAATTCTGTAAATCACTAATGTCATCATGGTTGTTTTTGTTGTTGAGTCACTAAGAGTTGACTCTTTCGTGACCCCAAGAACTGTGGCCCGCCAGGCTCCTCTGTCCATGTAATTCTCCAGGCAAGAACCCACTAGAGTGGGTTGTCTTTTCCTTTTCCAGGGCATCTTCCTGACCCAGAGACCGAACTTGTGTCTCCCGCATTGGCAGGTGGGTTCTTTAGCATCTGTGCCACCTGGGAAGCACAATTTCATCATGGATAGTACTGCAATTATTATTCTCAAAGTCTGAAAAGATGTTTTCACCACACTGCCCACCTCTCTCAGCTTACTTACCCTGAGAAGCTCTGGTGATACATCTGCACGTGGAGGACCTACCTGTACGGTGTAAGGATGTTCAGAGGAGGTGGTTTATCGCTCTGGTTGTAAATGTCAGCAACAGGATTAGGAATGCTGTTCTTTGAAACCACCTGCTGGTCTTGGACTGTGGAACTTTTGAAAGCTTTTTTCATGTTGATATCCTGTAGCGACACTGTTTAGAGAAAAGTCCCCCAAGTCGGGTTATGTGGAAATATTTTGAACCGTTTAGAAACAAGTATAATTTGATTCACAATTGTAAACATCTCCTAGAATGGCCAAATATATAACATCTATTCTAGCCGAACAATAGTATCTATTATTGTTCATTTAAAATCATGGTTACTAGTATGCGCAACCCCTGCCTCTGATAAACAACAGTTATCTCTATAAATCATGTCTTTCCTTCTTTTGTGGCAATATAATGATTTCATTGAGCATAATTATGAGTGCATCATTCTTTACTTAAATAGCATTTCTCAGAAACCACACAAGAATAAGATTATGATTATAATAGGTATATAAACACAAAGATTCAGGGTATCCAGGGGGAGGGGACCCATTCAAACAGTTAATACCAGTTTAGTTATAATACATGTGGGAAATGCATCTGTAAAAAAATACATGAATGTAGAAAGTGCAGTAAGTATTTCTGACAGTAATATTAAGGAGAAATGGCAAAGCTTTTCAGGACACCTAGAGTCCTGGAAATAAAGCAGCATGATACAAATCTACACTAAGGAGTCTGAGAGAAGCAGGCTAATTACACTCATTTCTTGAGTCTGAACAGCATGCTGCATCTCAGGTGTTAACTCATCTGACCTTGACATGACTTTCTGACATGCACAGGCGCATTCACCCACTGGACCAATGAGGCTGACAGTCAGGGGAGTTAAATGACCTTTCCAAGCCTGCCCAACAGAAGAGTGGCAGGATTGCATACAGCACAGATTTCCTGACTTGGTCAAGGATTCTTCTATAGGAATATCCACACCAACGAAAGTCATAAGGGAGAATACTTGATTAGGAAGGGAATTTAAGGCTATGAAATGTGCTGTAGAATCTCAGGATGCTAACCTTTTCCAGGGTAAGGTTTATCATAAGCATCACAACTGCAAGAGCCAACAAAAAGCTGAATAAAGACAAGTATTTTTAAAATCATTTTTGATACCATTTGAAAAGTATATGATTGATTTAACTCCTTGTCTGAATAGACCCAGTAGCTATTCAAACTTTTCCTTAATAAAAGATACATTTAAAAATCAAATTAAAAAGAGCATGTCTCTAGCTTCCTACTTACTATTGGAAAAGTAAGAATGTTCCTAACAAATAAAATCTCAATGTTCTACGCTTGTTAAATTTTTAGTTCACTTATTTAATTTTGACCTTTGAAACAGATCTGAAGATAAGAAAATGTTTTTTTGAGTGACGAGGGATGAATTTCATAAATAATTACATTTAAAAAAAACTTTCACTTTTTATTAATACTGCTATTGTAGGCCTAGTAGAAAAATAAGATGCTAGGATCATTTTAGTGCCAGGAGGGAAACTGTAACCACCTATATAAAAGGAAAAATAATTTTTAATCTAAGCGTTTTCTTCAAAGTAAATATAAAATGGCACATCTTGATGTGGGGGGACAGTTTTTTTCAGTCTTTTATTTGAAAGAGACAAAAAGTGAAAAATTTTTTAAGGGATTGTTGAACTTTAATTTGTTTTGAAACTATCCCAAATTCAGGGTGCATCATCAAAATGACTATCAGTTAACTACACAGCACCTGTGGATATTAACTTTGTTTTAGAGGCCTGAAGCCCTTCATTTCTGGGCAATTAAGTCAGCAGAATCAGCTCAATTACTTACAATTGGTCCTAAGAGGAGCAGAGAGTACAGGGCTCTCTTAGCTGGACAGTATCTTTGGAGTGAGTCTGTGATTTTTCCGGTAAGAAAGTATCTTTCTAATAACGACCAGTAACCTCCATTAGGACTTCTAACACCAAATGCATTCAGAGAGTTCTTTAAAACAAATACTGCATGCGTCATTTATTTAAAAATTGAATGTGGTTCACAAGATAGATCAGTTGTGACTCTTAATTACTAAGTAACCCCGCGCTGTGGGTTTTGCCCCTCGCTTTTCTTCTAGGAAAAGACAAGATAAAGGATGAGCACACAACCCCGAGGAAGCAGCAGGTGACTCCCTCCCTCCTTCAGCATCACTTCCAGCTCCCGGCTCTCCAGGGATGACCTACCCTCTTCCACAGTGGAATCCAGCTGGGTGACCTTAACAGCGAGGCGATCAATCCTATCCTGTAGAGAGTTCGCGCGGATGTAGAAATTGTTGGCCTCATTAAACAACTCTCCGAATATGTCCTCAGCATGTTTGCCTGCAGAAGGCATGAGCAGAAGGCCGCCTGGTCAGAGGTTACACTCTCACCCAAACCCAACGCCAACCTCCACACATGCAGTTTTGTGCAAATCATCACAAAATGCATCACCGTCAAAGACCTGTAGGATCTTTCAAAATTTATTAGGAATACTCATACATATCCGAAAGTGACCCGAAGTTGTAGGATTTTTAAATGACCCAGATAATATAGAATTTTTACCATGAGCTTTCCACCCCCACCAAGTTGTTTCCCATTAAATTAAGCTTCTTTGGGAAAAAACTCACTCTCATTTTGTATGCTTTGCGCATACACGGCTCAGGACCTGAACTTTCCTTTTACTTCCCAAGTAAACAAATTCAATTCAACAAATCATGTTGGCTTCTAAATTCAGGATTTTAACCTCATTAACAATCAGCAATATCAGATATCTTATACAGTGCCTCACACTTCCAACGGCATTAAATTCTTCTAATTCATATTTCAAAATCTAGGTATAGAATGCTGACTCTGGCCCTCCCTAAATATCAGTACATTGAATTCTGAGTTAACTTTTCTGTACAGATCATCTCTTCTTTTTCGTGAGTGTGAGACACACCTCCCATCTTCCTTAAAGTGTAATTAGTAACATTTCTGAAAATTTCACAAGATGGGAATCAGTATCTGCTTATGCTCAATTTCCAAATCCTAACACCATTCCTTTACTCACTCAACAAACATTTAATAACTGCCTACTAAGCGTGCAAGGAGCATGACCTCTAGAACATGACTGCTATGGTGTGAGTAGGTTTAGTGCTTTAAGAAACAGCTAAACCGTCTTCCAGAGTGGGTGGACCATTCTGCATTCCCACCAGCAATGAACGAGAGTTCCTGTTGCTCTGCACCCTCCTTAGCACCTGATGTTGTCAGTGTTTTATGTTGTGGCCGTTCTAATAGGTATCTTTTATCTTGTTTTAAGTTGCATTTCCCTGAGGACTGTGATGTGGAGCATCTTTTCACGTGCTTGTTTGCCATCTGCGCATCTTCCCCAGTGAGAGGTCTGTTCAGGTCTTTTGCCCATTTCTCAAACAAGTTGTTAATTTTCTTATCGCTGAGTTTTAAGAGTTCTTTGGATATATTTTGGATAACGGCCCTTTATCAGATTATGTCTTTTGGAAACATCTTTCCCCAGTCATTGGCCTGTCTTCTTCTTCTCCACAATATCTTTTAAAGAACGGAAGTTTTTCATTTGGATGAAGTCCAGCTTATCAGTTATTTCTTTCACTGTCATGCCTTTTAGCACTGTACAGTCACAGTCATATCCAAGGTCATCTAGGCTTTTACCTTTGCTATCATCGAGGAGTTTTATTGTTTTACATCTAGGTCTAGGATCCATTTTGACTTAATTTTTGTAAGGGGTATAAGATGCGTTGACCTGCAACTTTTTATCTGCACATTCTATCAGCTTATCACACAAAAGGGAAGACAGCCTGAACCTTCCCAGGAGAAAAGTTACCTGGAGCAAGAATAACTGTAATGTTTTCACTGTGCTTTACAATTTACACGGTGTTCTCACACTCACTCACCTCAGTCTCTGCTGTGAACCCCGAGACTATAACCTCCATGAGAGTTAAGAACCACCTGTGTCCACTGGGTGTCCCCAGCTGTCCCCACCTGGGACAGAGCCTTCTGGCACCACCTGTATGATGAGTGAGAACTCATGAGCCAGACATGGAGCCGCTGCTCCCACCTTCCAGGTGACTAAGCTGAGCACCAGGTGGTCGGTCCAGACACCGTGCCGAGCAAGTGGGAGAAACAGATGAAATGACAACTTGGGTCTCCTATCTTCTGATTCCCTGCCTTAGCGCATACTCCCCTCAACTTTCTCGGTTAGAAATTAGCAACTTCCCATGAATTATCTCAGGTCATGAGACACTTGAAAATTTCCTGTTTACTTCATAAAATGGATTGAAATATTCTGCTGCTTCAACGGTTACTCCTAGATACTGGATAAGCATCTCTTAAGAATTGAGAATTTGTATACTTTCATAAATTCTAACACTGTGACTGTCTTAATAACAGGAACGCTGTCTGAGGAAGTAAGAGTAAGAAAGGAATCAATGAATACCACTAAAACCAGGAGTGGGGACTTTGACTACGTACCTCAGTTGAGCAGTAAATCATTTCTCCTGAAGCTGAAAACCTGCAGTGCGGCTTTCTGGAGTCACCTGAAATCCTGCCGACAGTCCCCACTTACGCAATATACAAAATGGTTCCAAAAGGCAAACCAATTTAAAAAGGGTCTTCAAATTATGCATGCTTTTAAACACTGTAATTAGATGTGGCATCCAACGGTAAGGTTTGTTTGCTGCCTTTATTATGAACTTCCTGAGCAGGCCTTGTGTGTCTAATTACCTAATACACATCTCCATGCTGGTGTCCTGTAAGAATCGCAATTCCTGGACAAGTTCTCATAGGAGCTCATGTTCCCAATAACTCAAACCCACACCCCTACAGGGAAAGGCATGGTCCGCCTGCGATGAAGCCCCAGAAAGAACAGAAGCGCCGTGACTGCTCCCTCCCTCCACGGGCACTGACATCAAACCACTCCTGCCCCCCACCCCCTGGGCTCCGGCCCTCCCTGTTTCTCTCCTGAATTACATCAACAGCTTTGTTTTCCCGTGTCCAGATTCACCTTCCATTCTTAGATCTGCACATCACAATGCTGCTAGTCCAACCCTTCATGGCTGCCATCATCTCAAGACCAAACCCAAGGCTCTGAGCAGGCACAGGGCCCCATGCACTTTCGCTCTGTCCTTTTTCTGGGCTCTGGCAGAACACACTGCCTGAACCCTCCCCACTTGCTCACAGATGCTGTTAGTCCTCTGCGTGTTCAAACCTTTCCATGATGTCACCTCACTCAGAAGGAGAGATGAAGGCCGGCAGTGACTCAGAAGGTTCTGCCGGGTCCAGTTCAGTGACCTCCCGGGCCCATCCCCTACTTCCGTCTCCCTCCCACGTTCCACGCCAACCACACGGCCGCAGATACTCAGACACGCCCGCTCCTGCCCGGGCTTTCACATTTTCTGCACCTCCCCCCTGGACCACTTCTGTCAGCCAGGTCTAGACCCCAGTGTCATCTTCTAAGGGAGACGCTCTCTAGCACCTCTAGCTAAATGGCAATCACCTCTCTGTACACACACTGACAGATGTAAACAAACTCCCACACCCCCACCGTCCCCTCCCTGGTATGTTTTTCTCTGAGCACTCACCGCCACATAATAAGTAATACACTTGTATTTAGTGATCTTGTTTCCAGCCTGCCTCCTTCCACAAGAATGCATGATCCAGGAGAGGAGGACTCTACGCATCGCTGCATCTATTTCTAAGGTCTAGGGCCTGTCTGGCTTATTGTAGGTGCTCAAAAAGAGATTTGAAGAAACGAACAAAAATGCACGCACTTAAAACCCATCCTTCGGGAAGCAGACTGGGGTCCGCGAGATCAGAGGCCCCTTCCTGTGTGCGCAGATACCCAGAGGACATCTCAGTCACAGGACGCGTCCCACACCCCTCCTCTTGGCTTTTTCACACAAGTCCTGTAGGGCGTGGGCCACGCCCCTGGTCTCTGCACTGATCGCGCTAGCCGGTGCTCAGCATCTCTTGAATAAAAACACATAACCTGTACCAGTGTTTTCATTCACAAGGACACAACCAACAAAGGCTCCCTGCTCAGGTTCATTTGGGAAATGCTGGACTAGGAAGTTTAAACATGTAGATGCCTCAGGCATCTCAAAATCTTCAACATGCTCGTGTGTTGGGGTTCCACAGGACAAGCACGGTGCACACCACCTTTTCAAACTGACTGGTTTTTGAAACACCAGAAATGCCTTTCAGACTGTTTTCTGAAGCCTGTGTGGGAAAACGCCTGCCCATTCAGCTGGACAACCTGTAGACAAAGTACCATGTTCCAAATGGTTTGGATTCAAGTCAAGCAGCTGTTTTTTCAGAACGCCAGACGTAATCAAAATAGAACCAACTAATTTTTTTCTACTTGACCATTCATGGTTAAAATAAAAAAAAATTCCAGTGCAACTCCAAGAAAACTCCTTTCCCTTCAGCACTGCAGAAATCTAATTAATAGCGACAGTGTGTACCACCGACAACTCGGGCATGGACAGCCTCTTGCTGAAGGGACTTGAATGTTCTCAAAACACACTCTGTAGAAGCTAAACAGGTCGAAAAGAATCAATAACACGGACCCTCCACCTTCATTGCTTAATCCTATTTGAAAAAACACAATGGACACTCTACTCCCCTTAGAAGTTCTCAATTTATAAAAAAAAACAGAAATTAAAGACTTGCAAACTTAATCTTCTACCAGCGGCTGGAAGCTGACAAGTGACCAAAGAGAAGAAAATGGGAGGAACTCTATTTTCTGATGAACAAGAATAAAGTACTGCAACCACAGCACTCAGTTCTAGGAACAGTAACTTGTTCGAAGAGCTTAATTTGACTCACTCTTCCAATGGCAAGTCCGATAATAGTTGAACTGAACTAATTCTGAATTGAATTAAAGACCATGAAGAGGTAAGAGCCACTGATTCATTCTTAACTGACAAAGAACCAATTAGGGATTTATCTGTACCACACGAGTTCGAGTCCATGCTCAAAAAATCTTGTTGGGAAGGAAGGAAGCAAGGAATGGGGCAATGGACAGAGGGTGATTTCTCAATAAATGAGTATTTGGTAGGAAGGATGCAGACGGGAGTCAGGGGTGCATGAGGCAGGCAAGAAGCGGGTAAACCCAGTCCTGGGATCACCACCGTAGAGCGGGCGGGGCAGGACGTGCCGGTATAGAGGCAAAGCAGAGGGCTGAGACGGCAGAAGGGGGATGTCTGGTTCTCCCCTAAAACCTTTTATTTTCCCAGTGAAATAAGTAAATCATTAGCTCACTATCTGGGATGGGGGGGCTGCGGGGAGAAAAGATGTGAAACAGGCAGCAAACTAATTACTGCAGGAAT